TTTTCTTTATAAATTACCCAGCCTCAAGTATTTCTTTATAGCATCAGAAGGACTGCCTAATCCACCGACCCTATGTCAGATACTATTGTGAGTGTTGCTATACAGCAGTGAACATGAGACAAAATTCCAAAGGTGTGCTGGTATGTTGCGTCTTCGTTCTCATTGGTTTCAAAGAACATCTTCATTTCTGCCTTCATTTCATAGTTTATCCAGTAGTCATTCAGGAGCAGGTTGTTCAGTTTCCATGTAGTTGTGCAGTTTTGAGTGTGTTTCTTAATCCTGAGTTCTAACTTGATTGCATTGTGGTCTGACAGATTGTTGGTTATGATTTCTGTTCTTTTGCATTTGCTAAGGAGTATTTTACTTCCAATTATGTGGGTCAATTTTAGAATAAACGAGATGTGGTGCTGAGAAGAATGTAAATTCTGTGGAGTTGGGGTGGAGAGTTCTGTAGATCTCTATTAGGTCTGCTTGGGCCAGAGCTAAGTTCAAGTCCTGAATATTCTTGTTAATTTTCTGTATCATTGATCTGTCTAAAATGGAGAGTGGAGTGTTAAAGTCTCCCAATATTATTGTGTGGGAGCCTAAGTCTCTTTATAGGTCTCAAAGAACTTGCTTTATGAATCTGGGTGCTCCTGTATTAGGTGTACATATAATTAGGATAGTTAGCTCTTCTTGTTCCATTGACCTCTTTGCCATTATGTAATGCCCTTCTTTCTCTCTTTTGATCTTTGTTGGTTTAAAGTCTGTTTTATCAGAGACTAGGATTGCAATCCCTGCTTTTGTTATTATTATTATTATTATTATTTGCTTTCCATTTTCTTGGTAAATATTCCTCCATCTTTTTACTTTGAGCCCATGTGTGTGCTATATTCTCCTGAGTATATATATATATACACACACACACACACACACACACACACACACACACATACATATACATCTATAGATAGATAGATAGACATGCTATATTCAGGAGACCCATCTTGCTGTAGGAGAACTACAAACCACTGCTCATGTGAGATGGGTCTTCTGAATATAGCACATTGATAGGTCTTGACTCTATCCAATTTGCCCCACTGTGTCTTTTAATTAGGGCATTTAGCCCACTTACATTTAAGGTTAATATTGTTATGTGTGAATTTGATCCTGTCACTATGATACTAGCTGGTTATTTTGCTTGTCAGTTGATGAATTTTCTTAATAGTGTGGATGGTATTTACAATTTGTTATGTTTTTTGCAAGGGCTAGTACCAGCTTATCCTTTCCATATTGAGTGCTACCTTCAGGAGCTCTTGAAAAGCAGGGCTGGTGGTGACAAACTCTCTCAGTATTTCCTTGTCTGTAAAATATTTTATTTTTCCTTCACTTACGAAGCTTAGTTTAGCTGGATATGAAATTCTGGATTGAAAATTATTTTCTTTAAGATTATTGAATATTGGCCCCCCACTCTCTTCTGACTTGTATGGTTTCTGCAAAGAGATCTGCCATTAGTCTGATGGGCTTCTCTTTGTGTGTAAGACAAACTTTCTGGCTGCCCTTAACATGTTTTCCTTCATTTCAACCTTGGTGAATCTGCTGATTATCTTTCTTGGGGTTGCTGTCCTTGAGAAGTATCTTTGTGGTGTTCTCTGTAATTCCTGAATTTGAATGTTGGCCTGTCTTGCTAGGTTGGGGAAGTTCTCCTGAATAATATCCTGAAGAGTGTTTTCCAACTTCATTCCATTCTCCCCATCACTTTCAGGTACACCAATCAAATGTAGGTTTGGTCTTTTCACCTAGTCCCATATTTCTTGGAGGCTTTGTTCATTCTTTTTCATTCATTCTTCTGTTTCTCTCTTCAGAGCTTGCAGACAGGAATATTTCTGTCTGCTGAAGCTGTGCCCACAGCTGCCCCTTGTCCCAGGTGCTCTGTCCCAGGGAGATGGGAGTGTTATCTATAAGCCCCAGACTGGGGTTGTTGCCTTTCTTTCAGAGATGCCTTGCCCAGAGAGGAGGAATCTAGAGCGGCAGACTAGCTACAGGAGCTTTGCTGAGTGGTGGTGGGCTCTGCCCAGTTCTAACTTCCTAGTGGCTTTGTTTACACTGTGAGGGGAAAACTGCCTACTCAAACCTCAGTAATGGTGGACGCCCCTACCCCAACCAAGCTTGAGTTTCCCAAGTCGACTTCAGACTGCTGTGCTGGTGGTGAGAATTTCAAGCCAGTAGATCTTAGCTTGCTGGGGTCCATGAGGTGAGATCCACTGAGCTAGACCAATTGGCTCCCTGGCTTCAGCCCTCTTTCAAGGGGAGTGAATGGTTCTGTCTTGCTGGCATTCCAGGTATTACTGGGGTATGGGAAAAAATATCCTGGAGCTATCTTGGTGTCTGCCCAAACAGCCGCCCAGTTTTGTGCTTGAAACCCAGGGCCCTGACAAACCCACAGCCAATATAATACTGAATGGGCAAAAACTAGAGGCATTCCCTTTGAAATCTGGTACTAGACAAGGATGCCCTCTCTCACCACTCCTATTCAATATGGTATTGGAAGTTCTAGCCAGAGCAATCAGGAAAGAAAAAAAAAATAATAAAGGGTATTAAATTAGGAAAGGAGGAAGTCAATTTGTCTCTATTTGCAGGTGACGTTATTGTCTATTTAGAAGACCCCATCGTCTCAGCCCAAAATCTCCTGAAACTGATAAGCAACTTCAGCAAAGTCTCAGGATACAAAATCAATGTGCAAAAATCACAAGCATTCCTATACCCCAATAACAGACTTAAAGAGAGCCAAATCAGGAATGAACTGCCATTCACAATTGCTACAAAAAGAATAAAATACCTAGGAATACAATTAACAAAGAATGTAAAGAGCCTCTTCAAGGAGAGCTACAAACCACTGCTCAACGAAATAAGAGAGGGCACAAACAGATGGAGAAACATTCCATTTTCACGATTAGGAAGAATCTATATCATGAAAATGGCCATAGTCCCAAAGTAATTTACACATTCAACACTATCCCCATCAAGCTACCAATGACCTTCTTCACAGAACTGGAAAGAAGGAGAGCCCGCATAGCAAGTCAATTCTAAGCAAAAAGAACAAAGCTGGAGGCATCACACTGCTGGACTTCAAACTATACTACAAGGCTACAGTAATCAAAACAGCATGGTAGTGGTACCAAAACAGAGATATTGACCAATGGAATAGAACAGAGGCCTCAGATGCAATGCCACACATCTACAACCATCTGATCTTTGACAAACCTGACAAAAACAAGCAATGGGGAGTTCCCTGTTTAATAAATGGTGCTGGGAAACCTGGCAGCCATGTGCAGAAAACAGAAACTGTACCCCTTCCTGACACCTTACACTAAAATTAACTCCAGATGGATTAAAGACTTAAACATAAGACCTAACACCATAAAAACCCTAGAAGAAAACCTAGGCAAAACCATTCAGGACATAGGCATAGGCAAGGACTTCATGACTAAAACACCAAAAGCATTGGCAACAAAAGCCAAAATAGACAAATGGGAACTAATTAAATTCCAGAGCTTCTGCACAGCAAAAGAAACAATCATTAGAGTGAATTGCGACCAACAGAATGGGAAAAAATTTTTGCAATCTACCCATCTAACAAAGGGCTAATATCCAGAATCTACAAAGAACTAAAACAGATTTACAAGAAGAAAACAAACAAGCCCAATCAAAAGTGGGTGAAGGATATGAATAAATACTTTACAAAAGAAGACATATATGAGGCCAACAAACATATGAAAAAATGCTTATCATCACTGGTCGTTAGAGAAATGTGAATCAAAACTACATTGAGATACCATCTCATGCCAGTTAGAATGGCAATCATTAAAAAACCTGGAGACAACAGATGCTGGAGAGGATGTGGAGAAATAGGAACACTTCCACACTGTTGGTGGGAGTGTAAATTAGTTCAACCATTGTGGAAGACAGTGTGGCGATTCCTCAATGACCTAGACATAGAAATTCCATTTCACCCAGCAATCCCATTACTGGGTATATATCCAAAGGATTATAAATCATTCTACAATAAGGTCACATGCACACGAATGTTCATTGCAGCACTGTTTACAATAGCAAAGACTTGGAACCAACCCAAATGCCCATCGATAATGGACTGGACAAGGAAAATGTGGCACATATACACCATGGAATACTATGAAGCCATAAAAAATGATGAGTTCGTGCCTTCATAGGGACATGGATGAATCTGGAAATCATCATTCTCAGCAAACTGACACAAGAACAGAAAATCAAACACCGCATGTTCTCACTTATAGGTGGTTGTTGAACAATGTGAACACATGGGCACAGGGAGGGAACATCACACACTGGGGTCTGTAGGGGGGGAACTAGGGGAGGGACAGCAGGGGCTGAGGGGTTAAGGAGGGATAACATGGGGAAAAATGCCAGATATAGGTGATGGGGAGGAAGGCAGCAAACCACATTGCCATGTATATGCCTATGCAACAATCTTGCATGTTCTTCACATGTACCCCAAAAACTCAATTAAAAAAAAAAAATATATATATATATATGAAAAGAAACCCAGGGCTGTGGTTGTGTGGGCACCTGAGGGAACCTCCTGGTCTGTGGGTTGTGAAGACCATGGGAAAGTTGTAGTATCTAGGCCAAGTGCAAGGCACAGTCCCTCATGGCTTCCCTTGGCTAGGGGAGGGAGTTCCTTGATCCCTTGCACTTCCTGGGTGAAGCAATGCCCCACACTGCTTCCATTCACCCTCCATGGGCTGCACTCACTCTCTAACCAGTCCCAATGAGACAAGCAGGGTACCTCAGTTGGAAATACAGAAATCACTTGCTTTCTGCATTGGTCTCACTGGGAGCTGCAGACTGGAGCTGTTCCTATTCGGCATCTTGCCAGACACTGATCTGAAACTATTTTTAATATAATATAAGTGCTGAGTTTGGTGTGGAGTATATGCAAATGGAATGGCCAAGTGGAAATACAAGGGAATATACTGTACCTTGTTTTACCTGTAAGGAACACACACCTGACAAAAGGCAATTTTCACATCCAATGTTGGTTCACTGCAGTAGTATAAGAAATGGAGGCTCATAAATACCTAGAGGGAAAAAAAATGGAGCATAAGTTTCCAAGTCACTATTTTTTCATTATTTAACAATATAGATTTTGGCATAATTTGAGTTATATGCAAGGTATCATGCACAACATATCTCCAGTATAATCCTTATCTTGACCCATACTATGCCTTTCACAAATTGTATTTAATAATGAAATAAGGTTAAAACGTCATATCTTTTATAATAATCAATTCTATCACACTCATAAAGATTAGATATAAGAAAGTGGGCATACTAATAATTTAAGGTTAAATACATCCTATTATAATGTATTTTCAGTTCTAAAAATTTAATTTACAGAAAAAACCTCAAACATATGCTCAATAGTATATATATATTTATTGTAGAATAAAAACACTATTAAATAAAATATGATTTATAATAGAATTCTATATAGAGCTTGGAGTAATTATATTAGAGCTTAGTGTATCAGTATAGATAAATTTTTCAAACATGATGTTGACTGAGAAGAATAGCAGTTTGTAACAGATATAAAGAATATACTTTATTCATGTAATTTTTTTAAATTATAAAATATGCAAAAATGATTATATGTTATTTTTAAGTACATATAACTGTGGAACAAAAAAATATAAGGCACCATATTAGCATAAATTTAATCTTGGTGGGAATTACAACGATTCAGTTAGATGATTTTCTGCATGTTCAAAATATTCTTTAAGTTTGTAAAATTTTAAGAAGAGGAAAAAGTCATCTAATGATAGTATTACCGAATTAGATACTGGTAATGGGAATGATACAGCAACATCAGAGAAACACAAATAAGTTTTTTTCAGTTCAATTAAATATACTTTGTTGAATATTTATTATGTGCAAAATGCACAATTCTGTAAGATTAAACCATTTAAAAACACTATCAATATGAGACTTTGGTTTCCGGCAATAGGATTGACAAGTATCCTAAAAATTACTATCAGTGCAAAATTTCCAAAAATGTTACGTAAAATCCACAAAACATCTTTTAGAATGCATAGCTGAGCTGTCGAAAACAAAAGCATGAAAAGTTCTGAGAAGCTGAAAACAATGTGAAAGGATACATGCAGAGAAGTAAATGAGCTGAAGCTGCTGTTTGTTCCAGACCAACTGCTGATGTCTTATGACTAGAACTTTATTTGTTCATTTTTATTATTATACTTTAAGTGCTGGGATACATGTGCAGAATGTGCAGGTTTGTTACATAGGTATACACGTGCCATAGTGCTTTGCTGCACCCATCAACCCATCATCTACACTGGGTATTTCTCTTCATGCTATCGCTCCCCTAGTCCCCCAGCCCTCTACAGGCCCAGTGTGTGCTCTTCCCCTCCCTATGTCCACATGTTCTCATTGTTCAACTTGCACTTATGAGCGACAACATTCGGTGTTTGGTTTTCTGTTCCTGTGTTAGTTTACTGAGAATAATGGTTTTTCATTTGTTTGTGTCTTCCTTATTTCCTTGAGCAGTGGTTGGTAGTTCTCCTTTACATTGTATTCCTAGGTATTTTATTCTCTTTGTTGCAATTGTCGATGGGAGTTCACTCATAATTTGGTTCTCTTTTTGTCTTATATTGGTATATAGGAATGCCTGTGATTTTTGCACATTGATTTTGTATCCTGAGACTTTGCTGAAGTTGCTTATCAGCATAAGGAGATTTGGGGCTGAGATGATGGGGCTTTCTAAATATTCAATCATGTCATCTTCACACAGAGACTATTTGCCTGCCATCTTGCCAGACACTCAGAACTTTAGTTCTTAAAGGGTAGCATGCAGAGTACAGGAAGCAAGATTTAGACCTATCTATGATGGGAAGTCATACTGGAGACACTGCATAAAGCTTACTATAAGACATTTTCAATAAACTTCTGGAGGAAGCAAAATAATCCAAGCGGTAGGGTCTGAATTATGAGGTCAAATGTTTTGCATTGGAACTTGCGCAGATATTTTAAATTTAAGGAAGACTGAATGGATAAGAGTATATAAGACATTCCTGAAGAAGAACAAGTGGGTGTTTGCCTAGGGTTAGGGGGGGAATTGTTTTACCAGAGATCAACAACAATTATAAAGGTGTGATAAGCAAATATATATAGAATTGATGCCGTAATACTCTATGAATTAATAGACTACCGAGCCCAGAACAGGCACAGACATACATAGAACCTGATTATGTCAAAGTATGCATTGCAGATATCTGAGGAAATAAGAAACTATGCATTAAGTCATGCTGATTTGCCCCAATTGGTCACTATATGTGGTTGGGGAGGAAGTAGATTGCTGTTGTAAGTCAATTCTCTATGGGCCTCTCATATTTCCACATTTTTCAAACAGAAACACTAGCTGCCTTTGTTCCAGACTATCTTCCTAAGTATTTTTCTATAGCAGACAACCTTGAAAGATAGAGATAGTATCTCCTTCTGGAGCAAAGAGCAGATCTGATGACTCTGGGGCTCTCTGGGGCAAAAGTCAAGCATGTTTACTGCCCATTACAAAATATTCAGGTTCGCTTAGCTTGAGGTTTCTCTTCAGTAATGCAACCTACTGTGGTGCCGGGCGTCACCTGAATTGCTACATCACCTTATGGAAATCGGGGTCCAAGGAAACGACATGAGTTCTGAGATTCTAGCTGCTACTATTCCTTTGAGTAATAAACTCCCTAGTATCTGACCCAGGAGTCACGTATCTTCTGCTAATATCCATGAAACTGTCAAAGGCTAACTTGCGAACTTGCAAGTAGGGTAACATCTCAGACTCTCCAGCATTCTTGACAATCCCTACATCATGTTGTACACAAAAAATAATTCCAGACAGATCAGAAACTTCAGGAAAGGCCAAACTTTAAATAACATTTTTAAAAATGGTTGAATGTATCCATGAAATCAATCATAAATAATATATATGCTAAGCTCTGAAAAAATATAAGAAAATAAACTATATTAAAATTAATAATACCTGTTTATGAAAATATGTGATAATTAGTTTAAAAAGTAGTCCCCAAATTTGAAATAAAAATATATATAAACAGTAAAAAATGTATCCAGAATCCATAAAAACGCCTTAAAAATCAATAAGAAAAGACAAAGGACTAATACATAAATAAACCCCCAAAATGGAAGAATTTCATGAAAAAAATATACAAAGGCTCATAAATATATGTGTACCTTAAAATCGTATTAAGATACTACTTTATATCCTTCAAGTTGTCCAAAACTGAAAAGTATAATAAATATTCAGTATTTGAAAGGGAGTTGATGAGAATATTTGTACATTGCTAGTAGGTGTGGCAATTGGAATAACTCAATTTAGAGAAAAAATACCATTATTTAGTAAATTTGTGCACAGCCTACAATGCAATAACTCCACATCTACACATATTCCTAGAGTAACTCTTACATTTTTGTACCAGTATACATGTACAAGAAAGCTCATTAGAATATTTTTGTAATAGCATAATAAATAATAAAAATGAGCTCTGGAAAAAACAAATATTGGTAGAAAGAACAATGGATAAATAAATTGTGGTATTTTTCTTTAATAGAATACCATGTGGCAACGAAATAGTTGAACAGTATAACAATTGTCAACTATGACAAAATCTCATATATATTTTAAGTAAACAAAAAAAGTTATGCTTAATCCATTTATGAAATTTTGAAAATATGCACAATTAAATAATATCTTATTTAAGAATATTGCTTTAGTGTGATAAAACTTTTTTAAAAGCAAAAGAATAAAAATGCAAAATTGAAGAGATTAGATAATGATCCTGAGGAGACGAGGAACACCACTGGGAAGGGGCATACAGGGAGCTTCAAAGACATAAGCTATGTCTACTTCTTGAAGCTGGGCAGTGGGGTCACACATGTTTGTTACATTATTTAAACAGGTGAAATATATAGTATTGGATGTTTCTAAAATATTTTATAGAAAAATGGTCTAGTGACACAAGTCCTTCGGTCTTATACTGGGCCTTGTTGTGTATGCACGTTTGATTTGATGTACCAGACGCTTATAATAGCCACTAACAGGAAATGCTCTTGAGAAATGCTGAGGTTTGTAAAGTAGAAAGAAAAAAGAAACCATTAAACTATTGAATTAATAAATTCTAGAACTTTTCCCCTTTTAGGTTTTTTGTTATATGAGAAAATTCTCTATAAAAAAATACTAAAATATAATCTGTACGTAAAAAAACAAAACAAAAGAAGCATTTACTCTTTAAATTTTAGTCTGTAAGGTTACCTTATTCCATGTCCAGGGATTTTATGCATATTTTTTGCCAGACAGTAACCACTACTTTGTTAATGTTTTATTTTAAAAAAAAGTTTTGATTCAAGTTTAATTTACACAGCAGAATGAACCATTTTTAAATGTGCAAGTGGATGAATTTTGAAAAATGCATATATCCTTGAAACACACATTCCAATGAATAGAGAATAGTCTGAAAACCCCATGTCCATTTTCTGGGCAATACTCCTCACCCTCCGAACAATGTCCTATCTTCTTTCATTATAAATTAGTTCTTCTCCTAGAACTAATGTAAATGAAATTACACAGTATGTACTCTGTTTTGTTGGGCTCCTTTTGCTCAGCAAAATGCCTTTAGTATTCATTCACGTTAGTGTATTTATCAGTAATTGTCCCTTTTTATTGGTGACAAAAATGTACCACAGTTTGTTTATTGATTCTGCATGTGGACAGTTGAGATGTTTCTATTTTTTGGATATTATAATAATGCTGCTATGATCATATACGAATGTGTCTTTTTGCATAGGTATGTTTTCATTTATCTTGGAGAAATACCTAAAGAAGAAATTATTGGATCATGGGATAAGATTATGCTTAATTTTTTAGTTTCTAATTTTTATAGAAACAAGTCAGCTAAACATATTTATGGGGTACATGTGAAAATTTAATATAAATATACAATGTGTAATGACTAAATCAGGATAATCGAGATATCTATCACTTCAAGCATTTATCATTTCT